AAAGTCAAGGTTTTCATCTATCAAATGACATTTTGTATGACGTTGTGTTCTGAACAGAATATCGTCAATTTCACTCACAGTATAAGATTTGTTCCTGTGAAAAAGTTAACAACTAGCTTGGATGAATTTGTAGTGGCTCTTCTTACATAGTTAGAAAGCCAGGAAAATTTGTTGTACTTTGAACAGAATATCATCAATTTCACTCACAGTACAAGATTCGTTCCTGTGGAAAAGTTAGCGACTAGCTTGGAAAAATTTGTAACGGCTGTTTTCACATAGTTAGAAAGCCAGGAAAATATTGAGAGGTAAGTGAATGTATACTTTTTGCATATTATTAGTCTGTATCATTTGGTGAATTATTTAATTAAATAAAAATTAAGTGCATTACTATCTATAATATAAAAATTAGGGTTAACTCTCTTTGAAACCTGACAGCAAGAAAAACAAAGATTAGGTAAATACTATATTTCTTGTTTTTCATATTTATTCTTTATTTATTATTGTAAAAGTAACTAAAATCTAAAAATACGGATCTTTTAAGTTATTTAAGACTAGATTAGGTAAAATATGTAATAATAATATAATCAAAATGATTCACAAAGTACGCATGCGAACAGCTCATAGGTAAGGTAATTCAATAGTGTAACGTGTGCTGCACGTTTCCCCAAGTGATTTACAACTTATAATAGCAGAATTCTTTAATTAAGACTTTAATTATGATAAGTAAATTATATGTTTTGATGGCCATCTTAGGTTTCACATCAAGATAAAATCTCCCAGGTGGTCAATACATTTTCTCAGAATTTTTTAATTGTTTTAAAAAGGCATATCTGATGTTTCTACAAAAAATTCCTATACCTTTTCAATTTTTAGAAACTACAGGCTGTCTATGGTCTAATAATCATAACAACTTATAAATAAATTCATAGTTAACACACTTTTCATCATAATTCTGTATCCTAATTATAACATATGTTATATTTAAATACCGTACAGATTACTGAAAATGAAATATAAATGTGTCCACAGTTACTTCTATTCTGAGTAAATGATACTTTAATTATTAAGGAAAAATAATCCATATGTATTTCTATCAACAAAAAATTATTGGTGAAAGTTCACAGATAATATAATTTTAATACATAAGTCTATCGACCTGACAACCTAATCCCCCACTTTGAACAGAGAATATTATCAGCAGTCTCATTCCTTATCTAGAAAATATTTTATGTTTCTATGCCTAAAAGTGAGTGTGTGTGTGTGAGTATGTTGGCTTAAAAGAATATTAAAAAATCAATAAAATTTGATTCATAAGTACAAACAATATTACATCTATATTACATAAAATATAAATGTTAAAAATATAAAAAAGTAGAGCACTTATTTTTCAAGATTTGCACATGAAGCCACATACTCAGTGTGTTAAATATGCTTCCAAGACTGTTTTTACACATACAACATATAAGCTTTATATCAATATTTAATGGTTCTATTACTCCAATCTTATGACCAAATGTAGTGATTTTGTATACTACAGACTTGTATTGCAATTTTGTATGGTTTTTTAACATTTGCACCAATTTTTTTTAAATAATATCAATGCATTTTAAATGAGCTACATGTATAAGTATCATCATAAAAATTGTACTAAATTTTATCTTTCAAACTCACATATGCTTTTTCAGATTTTGTAATATGATTCTGTTTACCCTAAAAATCATACAGTAATGATTTCAACATACAATAATGTCTAAAAATCATTTTTGCATTAACAAATAAAAAATAAAGTCCAATGAATACATGCCTTTACTAAAGCCTTTTTTTATTTCAAAAAGTTTTTGACCATTCACTGCCTTAAAACTAGTATACAATACCAGATATTTTCACTGAAAAAATAAAATATAAAAATTAATATATTACATATTAATAACAAATAAAAAATGCTTACCCTGAGTCTCTGTTGCTCATCAGGAGACAGATTTTCATCAGCAAGAAGAGATTTAAGTTTATCACTTTGTTCTGCTTCAGTCTGCATCTTTGCTTTTTCCTGATAATGTGAAAATAATGATATTTTAGTTCATCAAGTTAGTATAGTGTTTTAATTAATAAGTAACAGCCACAAAAAAAAACAACAGAAATTCCAAAAACCCAAGAATGAAGTAACTACTAATTATTTGTTTGCAATTATACAGCCACTAAGAATAAACCAAATACAGCGAAATGGCATCAGGCCTTATATTTATTTTTGCAATGTCAATTAAATAAGAAAGTTTGTAGTATTTGATTAATTTGATACAATACCTCTACTACTACTATATATATATATATATATATATATATATATAATAAACTAATATCAACAGCTACACACACTACTACCTAACCAAACGACAGTAGGACACACCTCTAGTATTGACGAAGGAAAAAAGT